CCTAATGCCCCAACAGCCTCTCCTGCCTGCTGGTTGCCCCCAACTGCCCTCCGCTGCAGGCCTGGTCACTCCCAACTGCCCTCCCCTGCTGGCCTGATCTCTCTCCCAACTGCCCTCCCCTGCAGGCCTGGTTGTCTGCAACTGCCCTCTTCTGCAGGCCTGGTCGCCCCCAACTGCCCTCCCCTACAGGCCAGTTCACCCCCAACTGCCCTCCCCTGCCAGCCTGATCTCGCCCCCAACTGCTTCTGCCTCGGCCCCCACCACCATGGCTTTGTCCGGAAGGAAGTAGGACATCCGAAAGATGGCCAGTTGATGCGGTCTAATTAGCATATTATCCTTTTATTAGATTATGTAGGGTAGGATTGCTTAAATTGGGGGGGAAAAGCATTTTTCAGCAGGAGGAGTTGCTTTTGGCAGACAAAAATACATAACCCCTATATCAGGACTGATGGCCAGCCATATGCACTATACTGCCAAACTGGTTATTAAAAAATTGAACCGCTTTCTTACACCTTACACCAAACAGCTGTTGCCTTTCAAACCCCTCCTCAGCCCCCACCTTAGGTTCTGCCTTCGCAGTTCACCCAGATTAGGTTCTGATTGGTCGGTTTCTATGCCAGTCAGTGTCAAAAGCTCTGCCTCCTAGGCAGCTATTGGCTCCTCACACTTCACCCAGATTTGGTTCTGATTGGTCGGTTTCTATACCAGTCAGTGTCAAAAAGCTCCGCCTCCTAGACAGCCATTGGCTCTTCTGGGAAATCCAGAACGACCCCACTGACAGCTGTCTCTCTTTCCCGGCATATCTCTGGGCCTGATCCGCAGCCTCCGCAGCAGCTGCGGATCAGGCCCTTGCCTCTCTTGCCGTGCCCACCTAACACCCTCCCGCCCGCCTGCTGGCCACCAGCCTTGCTGTGATAGGAGCCTGTGGGCCACAGGGGAGGGACTGAGAGGTGCTCCATGCACTTCCTTGTGACCATTTGTTTGTTCATTTTGGTCGTTACGGCCATTGGCCTTTTATAATATAGATGATAGAAATAGACCTGCTGTGTAGATGTATGTTAAGAGTGGCATTTCAAAATAGTGGTAAGGGATGGTTTCTTTAATGTTTAAAACAATTGGCCATTCAATTTAAAAAGTTAGATTTCTTTTTTTCTCACCATACAGTAAAATAAATCCCAGTTGATTCTGAAATTAAACCTAAAAAAGTACCAAAACATTTTAAGATAAAATATGTGAAAATCTTTTTGTTAACTTTGGAGGAAGAATGCTGTGCAAGCATGAAGAAGCCACAGTGTCCTTAGACAATAAATGCGTGGTAGATTATTTGTGTATGAGTGTGTGCATTTGAATACTTCTGTATAGCAATAACCAAACCATGAATCAGTTTCAAAATAAATGCTACATGGGGGCAGTATTTCCTAGTGTGATCCCTAGGTAGAGAACACTCTTTGTTGTTAGAATCTTCATACCATAGAAATTTCTGGAAAACAGAATGACTTCAGACATAAACTACATCTGTTAATGCTTAAGAGAGTTTGAGATAGGACATGATGCTGTAAGCAATAAAGATAGGTAGGTCAGTGCTAGTGAGGGCATTGGTGATTAGCCCAGAACTTTTCAATCACTAAGGGATAGCAGCAGCATGGACTTTTAATGTGGTATTTATTCCTTTGAGAATCTCAGGGTCCATTCTAATCCATTCCTCACCCATAAGCCCTGTGTATTCATGAGAGCATGCCAGAAGTAATGACAATTCAGTCACCTAAACAGAAGTAGTACTATACATATGCTTGTTGCCTGGGATTCCCAATTACAAATGGAATTTTTTTTTTCCTGAGGAGAGTTTTCCAAGTAAATTAAAAAAGCATAGAGTCTTTTTTCAAATGTTTTCTTTTCAAAATGTGTCCTTATATTTTTGGCTTTGTTTCTGCTCTTGCTCTGAATGGAGTACCATTTTGGGTTGTGAAAGGCTTTCTGTTAAAATTTTAATTTAGCAAACTGGCTTCCAGGGCCTCTCCCACTCTTGATACCATGTGATGACTAACCATTAAATTAATTTAAGTCTTGAAATTCTCTGCTATTATTTAAACTGCCATGTTATTGTAAGCACCTTGAGAACAGTTATGTCTTAAAGTTCAATTAGTTTGTTGACTGATTTTTCACCATGATCCATAACTGATTTAGTCTGAGAAATTAATAAAAGCATTAAGGTTGATGATTAGGGTAATTGCATAATAGTAGCTAATAGACGTTTTGCGTTTTTGTGATGTAAATTTCCAATTACATTGTTGAAATATTGTATTAATTAATGAGAGTGGGGAATCAGAAACTCTGGTTTTAGGTTACCGAATTCAGAATGGGATAGAATGCTGAATTACTCAGCAAAGTCTCAAGGTCACTTGTTCCACGTCATGAACAAACTCTTTGCCTTTGAAAAGTTCATTCCCTTGATATAGGACACTTTTATGTGAATGTCCAACTTGGATAAGATATTCATGGATATATTAGAGCTCTCCAGATAAACAAAACCAATAGGATATCCTATCTAATAAAAGAGAAACATGGTAATTAGCCGTACCTCCACTACCCTTCCCATTGGCTAATCAGGGCGATATGCAAATTAACTGCCAGCCAAGATGGCGGCCGGCTGCCAGGCAGCTTGAAGCTAACAGGAGGCTTGCTTGCTTCAGTGACGGAGGAAGCCAACATTCCCCGCCTGCTGCTGCCAGCCTCTGAGCTTGCAGTTTGAAACATTGTTACAATATAGAAGCTAAACAAACCCCAGTAACCTGCTTTCAGCACCGGGATCTCAGGAGCTGAGGTTGAACAGTGTTTCGATTATAGAACCCAAACAAAC